TAACACCACTTGAAGAGCCCACTTGAGATCCCATCTTCCATCACCGAGCCTCCTCTGCTGCCGACCCCAGGCCCCGCCTACTCCTTCACTGTCGGGTCCAGCCTCCTCCACCACCGCTGCTGGCTCTCACTTACTCAGCAGCGGCTGTGGAGAGGAATGCACCTCTGCACAGATCACTGTTAGTGATCTGAACAGCGGCGCGTTCCTCTTCACAGCCGCCAGTGACAGCCAGCAGCATGAGATGTCATAGCGACCCAGGCGGCCCGAACGGCATCAGGGATGTCCTGGCCAGGCGCCCCTGTGCCCCATAGCGGCCGCGTGGGTCGCTATGGCGATTGTTACGCAAATGCTCTTCATAAGTAATCTCAGTACACCCTGCTGCCTACACTCTGGCAGGTTTAAGTTTTGCGCATCCAAGTTATCTCTGTATCCAACCCTGCACTGGGTTTAAAAAAAAAACTATTTTCATGCATCTTTTCATTTATATGGAGATCCAACAGCTCATCTCACCCACTCTGCCTAAGAGAGTCGATAAGTACGATAATCTTTTATGTCTCATCTCGTGTTTATAATTTTTTTTTTATAAGTATCGTCCTGTACGATTGTCATGATCAACACTGTATTGCTTCTTTATACCTTGGTATTAAATGAGCTTCTTACATGCAGTTTTGTATTCTTGTTATTCTCAAAAATGTATATGACCAAAAAAAAAAGGACAGTGGCAAATAACTATATTCATAGTTATGGTATGTGTTCTCTAGGGTTCCATTTTAATGGGACTGTAAATATATTCCACAAGGTGGAGCTGAAGAATATAAAATTAAACTGGAGAGCTCCGAGAGGCCTGCTGGAACTCCAGGATTGCAGCCTGGAGAGCGAAAGTAGAAATTAGTTATTTTCTTTTTTTATACAGCGGTGGGGGGAGGACCAAAACAAATAATTTCTTGGAGCTCTACATTAAAAGAGCAAACATTGTAAGTAACCGTATGTAAAATTGCTAGGGAAAGCAGCAGGCAATAGTGTAGAGCAGCTTTTCTCAACCTTTTTTTCCGTCACGGCACCCTTTAAAAGTATGCAAAATCTCAATGCACCCCATTGTAAAAGTTAAAGTAAGAATGAAGTATGGTTCCTCCCAAAATCTAAAACAGATCCTTATCCTAAAAAAGGGTCTAGGTTTTAAGGGGGGGTTCCAACATGTTTTTGGAGCTCTGAAACCATTCTAGTTTTGATGTAAAGATGATTGATGTGATCCCAGCCCTCCTGTCACTCTTCTACAGGTGCAGTCCCTGCACATTGTCCTGTTGGTATGTTCATGTTGATCAAATACAACAATAATTTGATGTAGCTGGCACACCTACAAAGTTGCCACCTGTCAAGCTTGATGGTCAGAAATGTGAACTGTCAGCGTTAACCCAAAGCAACCAAAGAGTCAAACCTGCATTTAAAATGACAACTGGGACTATATGCCTGGAGGCCAATTTACACCAGAGCCATGCATTGATTGCACATACACTGCTCTTTTTTTTTTTTAACCTCAATATTGCAGTACTGCATGGCAGGTGTTAGTCGCATTTGGGGTGCCATTCAAATGAATGGCAATGCAACACACCTCCTGCACTGATCATGCACAGTAGGTGCATTGCACAGTACCACACGATTAACGCACAGACCCTTAGGCCTTATACACTCTAGCAGGCTACAATTAAGTAGAAGAGATGTTATTTGCCAAGTATAAAATAACTTTCCCAGACTTCTTTTTTCTGTGTTTAGTTGGTGGCCTTTACATACATTTAGCTGCACAATACCGGGCTGAACTGACCCCCAAAATGGAGAAATTTGTTTGGGTAAACACTTCTAGACTGAATGCATCTTTGACGCTGCTGGACGCATCACACGAGTCAAGGTGCATTTAGAAAATAGCTCCAAACGGAGCTTGTGTGCATTTGGAAAAATTAAACCAGGATGTTTAAATAGTGCTCAAAAGAAATGAATACACAAATCAACCGACTCACTGCACTCTGGACACTGCAGGTCTTACCCAGATGTGTTTGCATTGCAGACATTGCTGACCTCTGCAACGTGCGTTACAGCGCTGACCTCTGCAACGTGCGTTACAGCGCTGACCTCTGCAACGTGCGTTACAGCGCTGACCTCTGCAACGTGCGTTACAGCGCTGGTGTGTTTAGGGGGGGAGTTAGTGCTAGGGAAGGGTAGGGATTAGGTGGGGCAACTAGTGGCAAGTAACTCTTAAGGCATGGCTAGTAGCTCAGGACGTGAAATTTTGATCCCTGGTCTAGGTGATCAACAGGTTTGCTTTTGATCAGTGGCTCAGCAGTAGCGAGACCAGACAATCACAGTATTAATGGACCAGCCTGCAGGTCTGGCCTATGGAGGAGCTCTGTTGTGGGTACCAGGCTGCCTGGTCTGACAGCATACCTGCTCGGCCCTGTGGTTCCTCCTGCCAGCTTCTACATTCTGTAGTGATAGAGGGAACCACAGTATGTGGCAGGGGAGCAGATATTAAATACACTCAGATGTGGAGGCTGTAGGAGTGGCCAGAGATTAGCAATGTGGTAGAGTCTTAGAACAAAAGGCTACCAGAAAGGCTTTTACCTTCTTTCACAATCTGGGCTTAGCTGAATTTGCTCAAAGTACTTACAGGGTTGCTTTTAAAAGGAAACCATCATCAACAAGAAGCCTCTTAAATACATTGCTCAAACATTAACAAGTGTAATTGTTTTTTATTAATACAGCAGGCTTTAGTTGTGAGCCAATACAGACAGTGCCACCCACTAAAGATAAAGTGTATATATAGCCTAAATTGTTATCTGGGTGGAGATTCATAGGAAACAGTGAATCCCCTGCCAAGGCAATGCATTACTGCCTGCCCTGTTTGGGAGATTTCCCATTACTCCCTGTCCTGGAGATGCAACAGGAAGTAAGAGGAAATCAAATGCGAATTTTCAAAGGCACGGGTCCCCATAGGAAGATCTCCCACTCCCTCTGTGGCAAAAACTAAAATTTTCCCTTTCACATCCCCCTCTGTAATGAATAAAGTGGTTGCAGGGCAGAGGTTTAATCTAGCCAGCTGAGACACAGAAGCAATAAAACCTGAAAATTCTTCCCTACTGTATCCAAAAACTAGACAAACACTTTAAATAACAGCCACTTTTCGTCAGTAGCAGACCGGGAGATCTAAGCTGTACTGTTGAATGAATTTTTGTACAAAAGAAAAAGCGGATTTGGACAGTTAGAATTTTATTTGCGTTAGACTTACTGAACCACGTTGGTTAATAAAAAAAAAGTTATACATACATTTTGCAAGATATACTTTAAACAATACATTTTCCCTAAGTGACTATACACACAATATATAACTGCAGGCACACCCGGCTAGCATGGCTGAGTTATGGGACCTTGTGAGCACGTGAACATTCTCGGGATTAAAATGATTATAAACTAAAACAGATGAGTGGCATAACATGCCATAAATATACAGGAGAACTATTGCAACATGAAAACTGGTATTGACCGTGACAAGGCGAATGCCTGAAATAAAGCAGAACAATGAAATGCTTCTTATTGCTAAATAAATGAAAAAAAAGCCAAACCACACAACTGCATGGGAAGAAATGAGACAAAAATAGGACTAGAAGTAGTGTTGTAGTGAATGCTTATTACACAGAGGTGATTACTACTCTTAAAGAGTAACAGTAAAGGAAACCTGTATTAAAGTCAAAAGGGCTTCATTTATAAAATCTCCTACACTAATCATCGCCATCTAGGGGCGCTAGTGCCGCATAAACAGCAGAACCAGACAGAAATATTACAAACAAAGCCCCAAGTTTACCGTTCTGATCAGGTTTCACCCGTGTTCAGGGTGGAAACTGAAATATGGTCACATCGCATCCACCTCCCACCCGAATCGCAAAGGTTCTTCACGCAGGTTGCTGTGATTTTTTTTTTTTTATGGCATGGCTGTGTTTGGCTCCGCCCACACATCCACATTCATTACAGCTCCTTTGACAAGATCTGTGAATGGAGAAACTACAAACTCCATCAGCCACTGCAGAAGAGAGACTTTGTTCTCAATGGAACACAAGTGTGGTCACGTCACCACACTTGCAATCCATGCATTCTTCCTCCCGTCCATGTTACTTAATATCCTACCTCTTCACAGACAGGGAAGGGAGGATCTGCAGGAGCCAGGGCATAGCACCCACAATCCGATTGCAGTTGGAATGCTTTACTGGCTCCAATGCAAAAAAAAAATATATAAAAATGCATATTTTTCTTTCATGAAGGTGTGCATTTATTATTTTTTGTTTTCAAAAAGTGAACTTTACCTTTAACAATATGGGAGGATGTAATTGCTGACCGTTCTGAAAAAGCTAAAATACCTGACCGTCATGCAGAGCCAATGGCTTCAATACTTAAAAAAAAAAAAGCACATGCCTGGCACTTGTATGCCAGGCCACAACTCTAACCCTACTTTCTGCATGCTTGTCTCAGCGCAGTGACTTATGCATTGAAGAAAATGCCATGCAAACCCATATTTTCAGAATGGCCTAATTTCTCAGTACAGGTTGCCCCTTAAAAAACACTTCTTGCTTGAGAGGATGGTAGCTCAGAAACTTGGCATGCAAAGCTATACTAGCTTCTGCAGCCATAACATGAAGATATGCAGTGTTAAGTTTCTCCTGCTGATCTAGCCCCCCCTTTCTGTACTCATTTTCTGAAGCTGGAAAAAATAATGGGTCTGATCCTTTAAGTGGAGAACCATTATACACTTTACAATACAGTTGTGGAGAGCAGGTAAGGGAGGAGGGGACCTTCCAACATTGCAGATCTTCACAGTGAGGCAGAAGTCTAGATATTGTTGCAAGTCAGATTTCTTAACACGTATGCTGCCAAAGATAAATTGTTGGTTACTTTTGGAGCATACCTTTAAGTAAATCATCTTTCTTGGCTAGTTTTGCATTCAGAAAAAAAAATTGCATATGATATTAATCCCACTGTATGATTACATCCAAACATCCATTCTAGTCCAAATCCATGGCAGAAGGAGATACCAGAAGTGTTTGCAGCACAGGGGGTAGACCGTCCACTATCAGCTTGCAGAGATGGAGACACCAGGTCTGCTCTGAACACGAGCAGGGTATTAATATTCTGTTCACATGACACTGGCAAGCAGGAGGCTGCATCGCTCAGACAGTTCCTGCCTTATATGTAGGTCACAGCACTACAAAACAAGATTAGGTAGGCTCTTGCTCCCTGGCATCTGTAGCAGAATTTGATCCTTGAAGATTCCATGCCAAGCCCTGGGAAGCTCATGCTTCTGGTCTATAGTTAGTCATCAGTGGACCTGGCTTTGGGTAATTTCGGTCTCCTCATAGTGAGGTGGTGAGTCTGCGTCATGTGATGAGGCTTGCTGGTGATCTTGGTCCTCTTCAGGTCCATCGTGCTCACTGATGTCCTCTAGTTTTGGGCCAGCTACGGAGGTACTAACCTCTCCACTGGGCTTGGCCATCTTTATGGCTTCTTCATAGGCTGGAGGAAGCTCTAGAGCATAGAGGCTGTAAGCTGGGGGAGACATTGCACTTCTGTCCATGTCACTAAATGCAAACATATGAGGATACTGCACCGAGCTGTAAGCTGTAAAGGATCCAAAAAGGACAAAAAAAAAAAAAAATGAGCAATGTTCACTGCAAAGCTAAATGCATTAGTCATGTTAAGGGTCCATATATACATCAGTGTACGACAGTGTTACGCTAGCACACAAAACCCGCACTGCAATATTCATGCCTTGCAAAGGGAAAGAACACTGCATTAGATTTATTTTTTCCAACGGGCTGGCAGTGCACCTTAACAAAATGGTTAATGCAATATGGTCCCTTAGGAAGGCAACCCACAGCACTTTATAGCCATCTACTCAGACACTGATTTTAATTAGAATTCCAGTCTGAATGTTAATCTGTATATTGCCAGAATGCTAGCAGTTTAGGATGTAGGTGGCCATTGCTGGCCTTCTAAAAGCTTGTTAACTGGTAATTGTTGGCTTAAAAGAACTCTAGGCAAATGTTTTATTAACATTTGCAGTGGGGATACCCCCATACTGCAAGGTTTAGCTGCTCGTTTTGTCTAGGTGCTAAAAAGTCATAGTCACCCAAACCACTGAGACGGCTCCCTGCTTCTCCAGTCTGTGAAGCGTCTTACACTGCAGCATTGGAATGTTCCTTGGCATCCTCACGTCTATACACTATATAGCACGTGATGATTTACAGGACCTCTGCAGCAGTGGAGATGAGAGGTGGGAAGGACTAGTTCCAGAGCTAGTTGGCTCTGCGGTTCAGGTGAGGTGGGAGTTTTTCTTCAGCACCTGGACAAAAATGAGTAGTTAACCCTTACAGTTTGGGGTAGCCCAGCTGCAAGGGTTAAAAAAGTTTTGCCCAGAGTTCTTTAATACTTTTGAGCTGCCGACCCGGAACGAGCTTGCAGTAAGCAAATAAATGCATGATCACCACACTTAAAATGTTGAAGCCACTGGATTAGCATGGAATTTTCATAAGGAGGGGGTCAGCAATGGCTGCACTCATTCCATCAGCACAGGTTTCTATAAACATCTGGCAAAAGTGTTCCAGTAGAGTTGGTGGCATTTTACATTTTCTAGAGACCAGGGGGTAACATCATTCTATATTGTCTGGTTCTTTTCCTTCAACCTATAAGTTTTTGGTGTCACCACTGCTGTTGCAATTTTTTTCGTGTTTAGTTTTATAGGGAATGCAACAGAGTGGGAACTCATCGGTGATCGAGTTCCTTGGTCTTTACATCTGTTGCGGCCATTAAATCTTACAAAATCCCCTAGCAATATGCATACACACAATAGGTTGGACTTGATGGACTTTATGTCTTTATTCAACCTCAAATACTATGTAACTATGTAATATAAGGAATTGCCAAGGGTTGCATTTTAAAGTTAAATAACCCCAACAGCCCAAATGCACACCTACCAACACTGCCAGATATACTCCGGGGGGACTTCATCATTGCAATTGCGAGTGTTTGAACTCTCATATGGCCATATGGGATACATTTGCACCAGATTTATGTTGCTCATAAATTAGATTAAATAGACTCCAGGAAAGAAGACTCGCATCTCCAGGCAAAAAGCCTGTCACTTCTTGAAGAAGTGGTCATGTCGGGACGTAAGTTGCGATTGTTTTGTTAGGTGATGCTCCAGTTTCAGACAGCTGCAGGACAAGTGCAGATGTAAACAGTTGTGAGCTTTCGCAAAACATGCGCAATCGGTAAAATAGTGCAAGCTCTGGTCAAAACAGGAGCGGCTAAACAGATTTGCAAATTATAAAATATATCTATATCTAATCTCTCTATAAGAGGCTAAAACTGTCGCAATCGCTTTGATAAGTTCCCCTCTCTCTTTTCTAAAATGCAGCATTAGAGGTGATTGGTTCACTTTGTGCCCAAATTAAGACCTCCTTTTACAACATGCTCCAAGTACTTACAGGTGACCGTGCTGTGAATGGTGCTGTCATTGTCTATGGCGATCACAGTCACTTCATAGGGCTGATTTGGTAAAGTCTGCACAGGCGGTTTCTTCTTCTTGCAGCAAAACTTTATGCAGCTGGCCGTTGTCCCACACAGCAAGAGAAGAAATATGGTGACCAGAATCAGCCTGGGGAAAGACAGAAACAGGGCTTGAGTCTATATAAACACAGACAGGGAAATGCTTCTCTGCGTCATCACTTTCATAAAAGCCTTTTATCACAGGAGGCCCATCTGCAAGAGCAGAAAAAAGGTCAATGGACCAGTCTAATCCAAAGCTGGCACAGAGACATAGCTGGGCAAAGGAACCAATGCCAACCAAAACTCAGTCTTTGGCCTTAAAGTGTATGTAAAACCCAACAACTTTCTCTGATTTGCTCCCTTTGTCTGTTCAAATCTGTTACATCTGTCATCTAAAAAGGGAAAGTGTTTTTGTTCCATTTAAAGAGTGGCAAAAAAAAGCCAAACCTGTTGATCCTGCCAAAAATCTTGAGCTAGAACTTTGTGTACCGACTCAACTGACTTGACTTATCAGTTGGCATTGTTCTTTGTTCTCTCTGAACTACTGAACACCTCTTCCCTAAGGAGTGGTGTCCTGTGGTTCTAACATGTCCTATTCATGGATGACATCAAGTATGTTTCTAGTAAGATCACCAGGGGAAAATAAAAGGAGAAATGGCCTGGAAAACAAATCTCTTCACCACATCATCTAAGGACAGGTAAGATTAAATTGGATACATTTTTGTATTTGGGATTAGATGCACTACAAAGGCTAAGCAAAGACCAAACAAAGCCATATCTAATGAAAAGCAATGTATCAACCCAATATCCATTTCAATGTGCTTTAAAATTGCAGTCACCTCTGCCCAGATCTACAATTTCCAAGGTTGACCAAGGCATGTCCCTACAGCTATATACTGGCCATCATGGATACAGTCAAAGGCTTCTGTGACTCAACAAATAGTATGGAGACCGTTCAGATCTGGCCTACTGTGACTAGACATGTGTCATCACTTGCACTTAGAAGCTACAGATCTCTGGACTGGTGACTCAGGAGTAAATTTAGACAACTTCCAAAACTCACTGCGACTCCAACTGACTGATCTGCATGGAATCCCAGTTCATAATTGGGCTGCCATCAACATCCAGCCATTTCTCTTATATTAAGATGCTACCTATATAGAGTTGATTTGGCCAGACCGCAATGCCTTTTAATCACTTGTATGTCTGATTTCCTTAGAGACCGTAATATACAGGGGTACAAGTACTCTTAAGATTGAGAACACACAGGGACCTATACATACTACACACCAATAGGACCATACACACACACAAAATAGGTTGGACTTGATGGACATATGTCTATATTCAACCTCAAATACTATGCAACTTTGTATGTTATAAACCTTGAGTCACTGCCTCCATAGACTATAGTCAGTATAGAATATGGAAGTCTGTCATTTCCTGTCATTTAATATAGGAATGCATTTCCTTGGACTTTTAAGGGAAAGCCCAGATACAAAGGTCAGTCTGACACAATCCTGGCTAGTTAGTGCAGAGGTCAACACCCAATAAAATGACTTCCTTGCAATTGTCACTGCCGCTACTCTGACCTCACATTGTAGTTTTAACCCTTCTTAAAATAACACCAGCACATCTGGCTCTGTTATTGTATCCATCACGGCTACATAAAAAAGGTCAGCAATAAACCCCCCAGTATAAAACAGACAAGTGAAATATAAGATTACATTAAAACAGTAGCTATGGCCTTACTATTAAAAATCACAGCTACCTTTGTATTCTGCACAGTTCCATCTTTTGTCTTTATTGACTGCACCAGCCCCTAGGTAGGGCTCTCAAGGAGAAGTCCAGCCAAAAATACATATTTTACTGCTTGATGGATGCTGAGGCGTTAAATCACCTTTACATTTTCTTAAATATCTCTCAGGGACTTGGTGAGATCTCAGTGTCAAGTTCCAGGATTTGCACACTTGTTACGACCATTGTAGAGATGAGCAACAAGACAGAATAAGCCAGGTTTAAATAGTCTATTGAAAGCGCCAAACAAGACAGTACAAGAGCCTAAACACCTAATAACAGAACAAGTACAGGCTTGTGAACTCACTCTATTACTAAAAGTGTTTGGACTCTTGTAGTGTTGTTTGGCGCCGTCATTGGACTTTAAAAAGTGTATCTTCAGTTCTGGGTTCCCATATTTGAGGGGCATCCTCAAACAATCCATCACCTTCTGACCGATCCTCTGAATATTTGAATCCAGGGACTCACAACTACCATAAGCGAGGTGCTGACCCAGGCCACCAGGGTCGTCTATAACCAAAAAACTCACATGTGGGTGGAATGGCTATTTAAGGCATATCTAAACCCAAAAACAAATGTTATTTTACAACTTACCAGTCCTTAGATGTGGTGGTTGCTTTACTTTACATTTTTAGGCCAAGAACATTTTCAGCAAGTACAGAAAATACCTGCCAATCTCGCCATAAATGCACAGTGGCCTTGTAACTTCCAAAAGCACAATGAACCTAAGTAATGGAGATGAGCAAAGGAAGACCTGTGACGTCCAGCCTTTGTGACAACCACAGCTGCCCCATAGATGAAATTGAGAAATGAGAGTGAACACAAAGGGAAAACTTAGTGTTGCTCGCAGGATTAACAGGTAAAAAAAAAAAAAAAAAAAAGTCTGGAAACCTAAAAAAAGAAATCTAATGCAGCCACCACATCTAAGGACTGGTAAGCTGCAATATAATCATTTTTATTTTGGGGGTTTAGACACACTTGCCACTTCACTGCGTAAATTCTATCCAACCAAAGTTTACTAAAGCCAGATATGGCTTCTTTAGACATTCAGTTTGCCCAAGTGAAAGAAACAGTGACAGGTCCCAACACCTGATCAAGCACGAGGCACTCTATTTTCATATGATAAAGCTTGCCTCAGCTTTGAGGACACATGGTAGGGTCTATTTTTGTACCGTGCTCTAATGCCACTGGGGTCACAGCAAACACTGGCCTCAATTTTATTGCTGTGCAAAGCACCAGCTTTCCGCGACAACCAGACAGATGGCAAAAAAAAGTGCAAATACTATGGATACCCAAAGCCGCAGGAAAAAAACAAAACCCCACTACAGCTTTTAGTAAAATTAACCTCAGGTCTAAACCTCGGCTGCAATCTGTATAAAAAAGGAAAAAAAAAAAAAAGTTTCCACATTGGCATTCTATAGAATGCAGCAAATGTCATCCACAAGACTATCTGCCAAAACACCAGGACTAAAAGACGTAATAAGCTTTGTCTACTCACCAGACATACCACAAGTTGACCCAGCTTGTGCCTGAACCTGGAGGGCAATTTCTAAAAAACATAAAAACGAGAGAAAATGTAAGAACAGTAAAGCGCTGCGCAAACTGTTGGCGCAAGGATTGTGCTGTCAACGTGCATTCATTAGAGTGTCAACAAATACTAAAAATAACTCGGCTGTGAAGGGGAACAACTACAAGTTTTATTCCTGGCTTGGCCAACTGACACTTACATCACAGGTTAAAGTGCAAGTTCACCCTAGACCTGGAAAACTGACAGCTTTTACCAGGGACACCATGCAACTCAGACGCTCAGCCCCCCTCATGCCATCTATATCTTTGCAAGCAATAGGACACAGAGGAAGTGCAGCCAAGCAATCACAGGACATAGATAGCATGACTGGGGATGAGAAATACCATGAGTTAAAGAGACACTAAACTCAAAGTTAAATTTTAAGAATGCAGTCAAGTACCTTAACTATTAAAAAAGGAGAACTATGACATGAGTGATTTCCACTCACCTCATAGTTCTAAGCCGACCTGTGACAATGAGACTGACAGGTCGGCTCAGTAGATCGGGAGGTGAGGGAAAACATACCGGGTTCCCTCACCTCTCGATCCTGTCACGGCTCTCTGCCGTGACAGGGGGAGGGGCTGTATTCCCCTCTCCGATCTGCCAGCGCTGACTGGCGGAACGGACGGGGGAGGGGGCGGGTACAGCTGGCTCTGCCTCTAGGTAGGCAGAGCCAGCTGTCACTCACGCAGCTGGGCGGATCTCGTCATCTAAGTCGGGATCCGCTCCAGGTGTGGCATCTGAGTATACCGGGAGCTGTAGCTCGCGGTATACTGAGCTTAGGGTAACGAGAGGACGCTAGTTTGTGTCCTCCCGTTACCCTAAGGAGAACTATGGGGAAAAACACTGACCCCATAGTTCTCCTTTAACAAAAATGTACCATATTTGTGTATCACTCGGCTGTAGATCCTCAAATCACCTCTAAATTGGTGCCGACACTGTCCTTCCTTCTAGAGGGGGGCTACTTGTGTTCATCATGGTCCCTGTGTGTGTTGTAAAGTAGTCACCGCTCCAAGCTCGCTACCGTGATGGACTAACTTCAATACAAATGAGTTAACTAAACATGAGATTTTAGTCCATCACAGGAGCGAGCTTGGAGTGGTGACTACTTTACAACACACACGGACCATGGAGAACAAAAGTAGCCACACTCCAGAAGGAAGGACGGTGTCAGCACCAATTCAGAGATGATTTGAGGATCTACAGCCGAGTGATACAAAGATACCTTTTTGTTAATAGTTAAAGGGACTTGAATGCATTTTTAAAAAGGTGATCGCCTGAGTTTAGTGTCACTTTAAATGGAGTCGTTGGCAATTGCCGGCAGTTTTTCCCAATGCTGATTGCTAAACAACCAAAGCGCGGAATGAAGTCAATGGCTCTATACATTTATCAGGGTACATGCATTCCATGGCGGTTTAATGCGCATTAAATAATTCTAGGGTGAACTTCCACTTTAAGACACACGCAAGTAGCATATGGAATTTCTATAAAGAAAATGAAGCTATAGCTAAGCGAAAAAGAATTCGCCAACATGTTGGCAAATCAGCACATGTAATAGCCAGCACATACTGATTATTGCCAATCAAGAGAGCAAAGATTGCCCAATCAGTACCAAGTCCAAATGGGTCCTATAGCTGGCCTAAGGCAAGTCAGGAAACCGCCCCCCAAAAATAATGGCAGTGATCTTTTAGGATCGTACACTGAAAAGATTACTATTGGACTGCTGGACATTATTGTTAAACGAGTCCAATATTTAAATGGATGCAGAATCGTCAGGAAAGTGCCAGCAAGACATTTGTTTCTGGCAGCCAAGCAACTGACAGGTCAGTCCAGGCTGCAGCCATTGTATGCTGGATTACGCTGGAGGGGGAGGAATGATACCACCAGGAGGATTTCCTATGAATGCAGCAATAAGAAATACAATGTATCAATTATCTGTCGTAGCAAAAACAAATTAATCCAGATTGTAAAACAAATGACTTGTATGGAAATAATATGATTGTAAAGGACATCCAGCACATATCAGAAGGAGGCCATAGAAGGAGAGGGGAGTTGGCCTGTAGGGGGATTACTAACAGAGTCAGACATGGACGTGGTGGGGAGGTTCACGTGGCGTGACATTCCACGTCCTGAAAAACAAAGGGGTCCAGCAGGGAGCTTACCATCAGCTGCATGCAGCACAGCACCAGGAGCCTCCCACGGGGGTTATATCCACAGGTCCACATGGCTCAGGACGAGGGGAAGCGGCGAATGCAGCAGTGCAGATACCGGGCAATGAACACAAAGCCGAAAACCAACGAAAGAACTGCAGAGCACGCTGACATCACCGGGGTTTATAGCCGCTCACACGCCCAGAGGTTCAGCCCCGCCCACGATGGTATAGCCCCGCCCACACTACGCTGGTTAGGGCTCAGCACAGCGCAAGGAGCTGCAACCAGACTCTGATTCATGTGCATGGGAGATGAGGCTTGTGTCTGGCTGTTAGGAACGGAGGATAGGGGCTTGTGTCTGGCTGTTAGGAACGGAGGCTAGGGGGTTGTGTCTGGCTGCTAGGAACGGAGGCTAGGGGCTTGTGTCTGGCTGTTAGGAACGGAGGATAGGGGCTTGTGTCTGGCTGTTAGGAACGGAGGCTAGGGGGTTGTGTCTGGCTGCTAGGAACGGAGGCTAGGGGCTTGTGTCTGGCTGCTAGGAACGGAGGCTAGGGGCTTGTGTCTGGCTGCTAGGAACGGAGGCTAGGGGCTTGTGTCTGGCTGCTAGGAACGGAGGCTAGGGGCTTGTGTCTGGCTGCTAGGAACGGAGGCTAGGGGCTTGTGTCTGGCTGCTAGGAACGGAGGCTAGGGGCTTGTGTCTGGCTGCTAGGAACGGAGGCTAGGGGCTTGTGTCTGGCTGCTAGGAACGGAGGCTAGGGGCTTGTGTCTGGCTGCTAGGAACGGAGGCTAGGGGCTTGTGTCTGGCTGCTAGGAACGGAGGCTAGGGGCTTGTGTCTGGCTGCTAGGAACGGAGGCTAGGGGCTTGTGTCTGGCTGCTAGGAACGGAGGCTAGGGGCTTGTGTCTGGCTGCTAGGAACGGAGGCAGATAGGGGCCTGTGTCTGGCTGCTAGGGACAGGGGATAGGGGCTTGTGTCTGGCTGCTAGGGACAGGGGATAGGGGCTTGTGTCTGGCTGCTAGGGACAGAGGATAGGGGATTGTGTCTGGCTGCTGGGGAAAGGGGATAGGGGTTTGTGTCTGCCTGCTAGGGACAGGAGATAAGGGGTTGTGTCTGCCTGCTAGGGACAGGAGATAGGGGCTTGTGTCTGGCTGCTAGGGACAGGGGACATGGGATAGGGGCTTGTGTCTGGCTGCTGGGGATAGGAGATAGGGACTTGTGTCTGGCTGCTAGGAACAGAGGATAGGGGCTTGTGTCTGGCTGCTAGGAACAGAGGATAGGGGCTTCTGTCTGGCTGCTAGGGACAGGAGGATAGGGGCTTGTGCCTGACTGCTAGGGACAGAGGGTGGGGAGCTTGTGTCTGGCTGCTGAGTACAGATAATAGGGGCTTGTGCCTGGCTGCTAGTGATGGGAGTTAGTGGATTGTACCTGGCTGCTAGGGGCAGGAGGTAGAGGCTTGTGTCAGGCCGCTAGGGACAGGGTTAGGGGCTTGTGCCTGGCCACTAGAATGGCTGGGTCACTTGATGTTTTGTTGGGAGCGTATACTTTTTATGTAGGTGTTCATTTATTGTATTTCAGAAAGATGGGCAGTAGGCATTTATTTTGTAGTTCCTAAGGACCAATTTACAATGTAGATCTCTAGTGCAGATGAGTTCCTTTAGTGCATTAGCATGCCACTGAGAATGTAATCTGTACCAGTGAGAGGTGCCATGTAAAGTGCAGTATGCCATGGCATAAAATTAGTACAGGTATTTATATAGCACTGACAATTTTTCACAGCGCTTTACATATTGCACATTCACACCAGTCCCTGCCCTCAAGGAGCTTACAATCTAAGGTCCATATCCTACATGCAAGCACCAATTTAAGGTGCCCACACACCTTACGATAATCGCGGGAAATCCCGCGATCGTACGATTATCGTAAGGTGTGTGGAAGCCGTGCGACCTCTACTACTGTAAGGTTGCACGACTTTTATCTTAGGAACATGTTAGAAAACCCGCCGAGCATTGTACGATGTTAGGCGTGTATGTAGCATGTTCGTAAGATAAAAGGTGGACGGGCCGGTGTGCACAAGTGCACACTGCCCGTTCAGCATTGCGGTCATCGGAAGCCCGCCCCTCGGGGGCGCAGCTTGCGATCATCGCAAGTACGATCTGCCTGTCCTAGATAGGCAGATCGTACGTTTTTTAAATTACCTTACAACCATCGCAAGACAAAAGTCTTGCGATGGTTGTAAGGTGTGTGCCCAGCCTTAGACAGGAGTCAATTAACCTTCCAGCATGTCTTTGGAGTGTGGGAGGAAACCCACGCAAGCACAGGGAGAACATGCAATTTCCTTGCAGATAGGGACCTGGCCGTAACCACTACGCTACTGTGCTGCCCATCAGAATTATACTATGGGCTAACCCAACGCTGATGACATTCAAAGGGCAGAATCCTGTCAAATTAAATTGGCACAGGCTTTCGAAGTAGATGGGAAATACACATATCTGCATCCTCAGGGTACAATGTTTAACCAGTTGACATCCGCGGTGTTAAACCCCCTTCCCATCCAGGCCATTTTTCAGTATTCAGCGCTGCGGTATTATCCCAGGGAAAGTAAATGATGAATGGCAAATTCTGGTGCCAGTGACTCTCTTATTGCTGCAATATGTTAAAATGGTTTTCATTTGCATTTTTCTTTTGTGTCCTCCTTAGGTCGGCCCATCATTTAAAAAAACTGTAACATAAAGGTAATATGTTGGTAGATGCAGGAAAATAAAGAAATACATACAGTATATACATAGTATATAGAAACAAACTACACTAATAACAAATTAAAAAAGACTAAAGGTTTTGGCATCTAATTTATAAAAAAAAAATATACTGTAGGCCAATCCATGAAAAAAAAAAAAGAAGAATGGATCGATGACCGTGGCTCATGATATTCGGGGTCAATATGTAACTGTAATAAGCAATCCTTCAAATCAGGAAATCTATTTGACCTCCACATGTTAGGAATATGGGACCTCTTACTGGTCATAACTATAGAGATTGCATTTTTTCCCTCAAATACAACACAGCTGTAATTTTTTTATGTACTTCATAACATGAATGTATATGTTCTCCAGGTACACACAATATCTTATCAACTTTCACTCATGATGCCTTTCTCTATGCTTTCTCCAGTGTCAGCAATAAAGCCAACATGCTGTTATCAGTTGACATTGAATAGTGGTGTGACTGGTCCTTTAATCTTCATGCTTCTGCATGAGGGCAGTGGACTCCTCCTTGACTCCCCTCCACCCCCCTTTCCCACTGGCTCAGATACAGTAGTCCAGTGTCTTGCTCCATTGATTGGGCTTCTGCCTTGTCCTGTGCTAAATATAGTAGAAATATAAGTCTACAGAATTTACGGCTGCATTAGAGTGTATGTACTAAGCAAAATAACAAAATTATACCAGCACTCCCAGGTCAAGAGACCGCACTGACAGCAGTAAATTAAAAAAAAAATAATTATATGAATGTGTTATATTGGATCAGGGAAAATGATTTATAATTGGTTAGGGAGAAATAAAAAAATAAATAGAACACTACTGGTGAGTCTGTAATTGCATTGTGTTTACCTACTGCTAGTTCTCCTCTGTTTCTCCACTATTTTGCTACCAAGCAGAGTCCTACTTCCTTAAAACAGAGCTAAAGTTAAAAAAAAAACAACCAAATTCCTATATTCTGTCTTGGCAATCAAGCATTTCTTTTACACCCCCAATTCCAAAAAAGTTGGGACGCTGTGTAAAATCTAAATAAAAACCGAATGCAATGATTTGCAAATCTCATAAATCCAAATTTTTTTCACAATAGAAAACATATCAAATGTTTAAACTGAGAAAATTTACCATTTGAAAAATAAATAAGGTACTTTTGAAATTGATGGCAGTACGACATCTCAAAAAAGTTGGGACAGGGCAACAAAAACCTGGCAAAGTAAGTGGTACTAACAAGGGAGAGCTGGAAGAACATTTTGGAACTAATCAGGTTAATCAACCACAGGTCAGTAACATGATGGGGTATAAAAAGAGCATCTTAGAGGGTCAGAGTGTCTCAGAAGTAAAGATGGGCCGAGGTTCACCAATCTGTTAAAAGCTGTGTCTAAAGATTGTCGAGCAATTTCAGAATAATGTTTCTCAACATAAAATTGCACAGACTTTAAATATATCATCATTAGTACATAATATCATCAAAAGATTCAGAGAATCGGGAGAAATCTCTATGCGCAGGGGACAAGGCCGAAATGCAATACTGGATACCCGTTATGTTTGGCCCTAGACGGCACTGCATTAAAAACAGGCATGATTCTGTGATGGACATCACTTCATGGGCTCAGAAATACTTCTACAAATCACTGTCTGTGAACATAGTTTGCGGTGCCATCCAAGAATACTAGCTAAAGCTCTGACACGCAAAGAAGAAGCCACATCTGAACACCACCTAGAAATGCCGCTGTCTTCTCTGGGCCAAAAGTCATTTAAAATGGTCGGTCACAAAGTGGAAAACTTGTATTAGGAGGTCGGGGTGGGGGGCTTAAAAAGACTGTCATTTGCTCTGAATGGGCAAGGTGACAATGCCTTTTAAAGAGTGTGCATGCCATTCTGGTTGCCTTCCTGTCAACCAACAGCATCCTAAGGGATCACACTTTTAAGGCTGCAGAGGGTTTATGGGGCAAGAATCCCTGTCCACTGTGATAGGAGTGTATAGTTTATAGTTTGATATTCTATGAATACTACTTTGGGGTAAATAACAATATTCTTAGTCAATATTATACTTAGATTGGACGTGTTCTAGGGTTGGAACAATGTCTAGTCTATGCTTAATGACCACTGATCAGCACTGGGAACAAGCTTCAGTGCTAAGTAGCACATATTGGACCTCATACCCCAGTTTGCTGCACTTAGTGTCGTCAGGCGACGCTTGTTTATAACCAGTCTTAATTTATATACTCTAGTACAGTGGTGCTCAACCTGTGTAACCTCAGGACCCACATTTGTTCTTGGTCATTAAGTCATGACCCAAGTTGCACTGCAATGCAACGTACGGCAT